AAGTGATGTGTCCACAAGCCAAGGACTGCCAGCAGGCACCAGCGGCTAAAGGAGGCAGGAAGGATTCCCCCTGGAGCCTGAGGGCCTCAGAGGGAGCATGGTCCCACCGGCACCTTGATTCTGGATGTCTAGCCTCCAGCCTGGGAAAGAACCCATTTCTGTGTCTTAAGCCATCCAGTTGGCGGGGCTTTGTTACGGCAGCTCCAGGAACCTCATGCACCCTCTCAGGCTGAAATAAAATCCCTCACCTGGGGGTCACGGTTTGATTCCTAGTCGGGCACGTGCCCGGGTTGCAGGATTGATCCCCAGTGTGGAGGCAGGGGGCAGCCGATCAATGATTCTCTCTCATCACTAATGTTTCTATCTCTCTCTCCCATCTCCTTCCTCTCTGAAATCAATAAAAATATATTTTTAGATAATCCCTCCCGTGGGCATCCCTCAGGAGGTGGCATCTGTGAACCCTCCCACCTCATCCCAGCTGGGCTCTCACCCTGCGTTCCTTACCAGGCTGAGGTCTTCCTTCGCCCCAGTGCCCTGGCACACCCTGCTCCCTCTGCCTCCAGTGCTGCCTCCTGCTTTTAGCTCTTCCGTTAAGATCAGGGCTTCAGCAGAATAAAAATGTATAAACCAGCAGAACCCACGGCCACTTGGCTGGTGCCCCAGTCAGACACCTGCACCTGCACCTGCCTCTCCGGAGCTGGGAGACCCTGGTCAGGCCCTTCTCCACCCTGGTTCCCCGTGTCTCCGCTCCGTCTTCCTCCGGCCCCATCCTGCCCCGCGGCCTCCAGGCCTTTATGTGTGTTGCTCTCTCTGCTTGGAATGTGCAGCCTCTGCTGCTCAGACCCCACCCAGGAACTCCCAAGGGCCAAGAACCCACCTGCAATTTCTCAGTGGGTTGTAAGGTTAAAGGGGACAGCCTGTCCCCACCCCAAACTTGTGAGCACCCCATGAGGGTGGCTGTCTTTTTCTTCTTCTTTAAAAAAATATATGTTTTATTGCTTTCAGAGAGGAGGGGAGAGGAGGAGGAGAGAGAGAGCGACATCAATGATGAGAGGGAATCGTTGATCGGCTGCCTCCTGCACGCCCCCTATTGGGGACTGAGCCTGCCACCCGGGCATGTGCCCTGATGGGGAATCAAACTGTTACCTCCTGGTCTGATGCTCAACCACTGAGCCTCCCCAGCCGGGCTGAGGGTGGCTCTCTTGTTCTCGTGTCCCCAGCGTTTCACCCAGGGCCGGGCGTACAGTCGGTGCAGATCATTAGACTGAATTAAAGGAGAAAACTAGGCAGTGAGAGAGATCATCCTCAGGCTGCCCTCACCGCAGACCCCATAGGATCTGCAGGAGGGCAGGAAGTGAAGGAAGAGATTGCAAGATAATGGCAGCAGGAGGGGGCTGTGGGCACAGGGCAAGCGCTCCCACAGCCGCTGAGAAGCGTGGCGACGCCCGGGGGAAGGGTTCACTGAGCTGGAAGAAGTAGAATTGCGGGCTGTCTGGCATCAGACAGAGGTGCTTATGTTGAAATGCAGCTGGACGTAGCACCAAGGAGCTGCACTCATTTCTTCCAGAACGAGGAAGACAGCAGCAGTGGCCAGGGCTGCACAGCACGGTCACTATCTTGCAGACACTGATCTACTGAAGGAGAGAGGGACCCTCTGCAGCTGGGGGAAACTTACTTGAAGTTAACATTTGCAACTGCAATCAGCCCCATTTTTAAAAAAATATATATTTTATTGATTTTTTACAGAGAGAAAGGGAGAGGAATAGAGAGTTAGAAACATTGATGAGAGAGAATGATTGATCAGCCACCTCTTGTACACCCCCTACTGGGGATGTGCCCGCAACCCAGGTACATGCCCTTGACCGGAATCGCATCTAGGACCTTTCAGTCCGCAGGCCGACGCTGTATCCAGTGAGCCAAACCGGTTTCAGTCAGCGCCATTTTTGTCTCCAGAACACTGTGGAGAGGGGCTATCTTTTAACATATTGGGAGGGGGCCGGAAAAGGTACCAGAGATGACAAGATACAAACAAATAGGAACAGCCCAACCCACATGGCTCAGGGGCTGAGCACTGACCTACGAACAAGGAGGTCATGGTTCAACTTCCGGTCAGGGCACATGCCCAGGTTTCAGGCGTGATCCCCAGAGGGGGTGTGCAGGAGGCAGGCAATCATTGATTCTCATCACTGATCTCTCTCTCTCTCTCTCTCTCTCTCTCTCTCTCTCTCTCTCACTTCCTCTCTGAAATTACTCAAATATATATTTTTAAACAACCTAATAGGAACAATACTGAGGTGACCATGACTCTGGGCAGCCTTCATCATTTAGACAGCCCATCTCAACCATCCAGCCCCACACACTTCACTGAGTCCTCACAGCTTCCTGAGCCGGGGATGACTGCCCCCATCTTACAGACAGGAAAACAGAGGCCCAAGGTGCTTGAAGAGTTGCCCAAGGTGCAAGCCGTTGGGGTTTGAATCAGAAGGTTCTTGAAGTCCAGACGCGGGAGTGCTTTGGTCTCAGCAGAGGCCAGAGAGGCTAAGACTGATGGAAGACCCACCGGAACCCGATGTTTGGTGCTGGAATCACCCCGTCTGATTCCACTTTGTATGGGAAACAGACCCCTTCCCTGCAACAGGAGCAGGTGACTACTCTCAAAGCCACCTCTTGTCCATTTGGGAGCCTTTTTATTTATTTATTTTTTAAATATATCTTTATTGATCTCAGAGAGGAAGGGAGCGGGAGACAGACAGAAACATCAGTGATGAGAGAGCATCATTGATCGGCTGCCTCCTGCATGACCCCTCCTGGGGAATCGAGCCTGCCGCCCGGGCATATGGCCTGACCGGGAATACAAACCCGTGACCTCCTGCTTCCTAGGGCGACAGTCACCTACTGGCTGGGCTAGAGTCTTCCTAACCACATCAGGACTTCCCTGCTAGAAAACGATCCTTCATTTGCCCAAACTGCCGAGTCTGGGTGCCAGGAGACCCCTCCCCAGGCATCAGCACTCCCTATGGTAGAGAGTGGAAGAGGAAGACCTATGGCAGGGAATGTGGGAAGGACGTCCTAAAGGTGAAAGAGCAGGAGGTTGGCCCTAATGCAATGGGCATCTCTCACCCAAAATACTTCTCTTCCTGGAGACAAACTGCTACAGACGATGGTACTGGGCAGACAAGAGATTCAGCCCTTCTGAGGACTGGCACCTCGCGCTACAAAGAACCACACACACCTGCGCACACTGTAGGCTGAAAATGGCTGGCTTCAGGACAGGTCTAAATTCAAATGCACCGGGGCTCACGCCCTCCACTCGCAGCTCCCACTTGGATGCCGTCAATAGGGAGTCCAGGACCTCCCACAAGCCCGGTCAGCTTCTGAACGGGAAGTTGTAAAAAGTGTATCTCGGACCATTTGAGGCCCATATTCTATGTTGGACTCAAACCTGCCTGTTCATGCCTGTTGTTCATGAGCCTAGCTTCTGCCCTCACTGCTCTTGCCAAAGGATTTCTGGAGCCGGAGAGCCTCTTTAAAGTCTCTTTCCCAGGGTGAGCATGTTCAGTTCCTTTGACTCTTCCCTCCCAGATGGTTATGTAACTAACTCTTGGTCATCGTCTCCTGGGGGTAAAGTCCTTGCATTAAAGGGGGAAGGAGATGACTGGTTGTATCCAACCAATGAAATAGGGAGCCTGTGCTGAAGATAGTTTGTGTTATACAAGCAACGCCTCGCTGGAGGAAAAATCGGAGAGAGAGAGAGAGAGAGAGAGAGAGGGAGAGAGGGAGAGAGAGAGAGAGAAGGTCTGGTGGTTCTTGCATGTCAGCAGTGGATGCTGCTCAGGGCTTTCTTCCTATTTGTTCTTTCCTTCCGGTGACTGTCATTCATTCATCCTATCTATTGAGCACCAACTGTTTGCCAGGCTCTGTCCTCATGCGGGCATACAGCAGTGGTCAAACCTCTCGTGGAGTTTTCCCTTTGCAGGGAGGGAGGGAAATGGACTTTAAAAAAGAGAAATATATAAAATGTCTAGTGTAGTAGATAGTATGGTCTCCTACAGCTGCTATAATAAAGTACTACAAACTTAGTGGCTTACCCTAACACACATGCATTCTCGGATGATTCTAGAGGCCAGAAGAGAGTCTATTTCCTGCCTTTTCCCGTTTCCAGAGGTGCTCGCATCCATTGGTTCATGGCCCCTTTCTCCCATGATGCCCATCTGTGACTTCCATCATCATAGCTCCTACTTCTGTAGTCAAGTCTCCTTCTGCCTCTTATAAGGACCGCCTGGATAACCCAGGATCATCTTCTCATTTTAAGATCCTTAACGTAATCACACTTGCAAAGTGCCTCTTGCCATTAAGGGAACATCCCCAGGTTTCAGTGATTAGGATGTGGGTGCCCCTCTTCAGAACCTTGGGAGAGGGTGATAAGGGGCCAGGAGGTCCTCTCTGGGCAGGTGGCCTGTGGGCAGAGACCTGAAGGAGATGAGGGAGGCATGTATGTTTGGGGAAGAGTGTTCCAGGCAGAGGGAACAGCCAGTGCAAATTCTGAACGTTAGAGGCAGCCAGAATCGGGTAAGGAACTGGAAGGAAGCTGCTGGGGCTGGAGGGACGTGAAGGGGACAGACAGCGATGGGAGTAAGCTCAGAGAAGCAGGCGGAGGCTGAATCCCAGGTTCTCTGTGGGATGGGCATTTGCCCCAGGGGTTGAAGCAGGGGTATGGCACACTCCCTCTGACTGCTGCAGGTGAAAATACACTATCACCCGGTTCACGGGAACCCAGGTAAGACTATTATAAAACAGTCCATGAAATGGGTTTGCAAGAATGTTTATAATCCTTGAAATAACGTGGAAATGGGAGCTCTTCAGGGGTAGGGGGAAGGGTGGAAATCAGTCTTAAATAATGTAGCAAATATTCATTACGGCCTGGCCTGGTCAACAGGCAGTTCTGCACCCCACCGTGGAGAAGGCTGGGCCCCTCCCTCCCAGAGGCCCGGGGGCGGTACCTGGGAAGATCTTCATCCTGCCACTCGTCCTTCACCTCCACGTTTTCCATCCGGAGTGTGGCTTCAGTTGTCCCCATGGGATCACGTGTGGCTTGAAGCAGAGATGAATTCTGAAGGAGAGACGTGGATGGAGGTGTTACTGGACAATTATCATCATAACAACCCCTCACCCATGTCCAGCATTTCAGATCCATCTGCAAAGAGCTCTTGCGCCCATCGTTTCATTGAATCATTGCCCAGCCCCATGAGGCTTCCCGTTTCACAGGCGATAAAGCAGAAGCATAGAGATCTACGAACACCCATGTGGGTCTGGAGTGTGAACCCAGGCGAGAGACTGAGCTCCTGCTACAAGCTCCCCTCCGTCTGAAGCTCTGAAATTCACCTTCCCCAGGGCTCATCACCCTTTCATTATCTTAGTCTTCAACTGGGAAACCATAGAGCAATTGAACTCATTTATACTAAAGTGTTGATGACTGATATACTTGAGCTTCCTTGCTGGGATTGACATTTTCAAACAGGACCTGGTCAAAACCAACCCATATCTACTATCTGCTCCAGGCCACCTACCCTGTCCCTTTATCGCCCCCTCAAAGAAGAAAATCCTGACAACTTGCTGACCTGAGGGCTAACGAAGGCAGTGTGGAAAGTGACTGGGGTTGGGAGTCAGGATCATAATTATTACCGACCACAAAATGTCAGTTTGTTTGCCTTGTTCCAGGAGCTGGCTGAGGGCAGGGGTGGGGTGGATTCAGCACTCCAGATGACGGCTTAAGTGCTGGGCTGTCTGGGAGCGGAGCCAGCTGCTGAGTGAGACTGAATTAGGGTATAACCTGGGGTATGGCAGACTCTCAGGCCATTCACCCCTCCAGGCTTCAGTTTCCCTGTTTATAAATGAAACCTGTGCTAGAAATAATCTCTACCATACCTTTTGGGCATAACAGTGCAGGATCGTAGGACTCAAATGACACCACAGGTTCTGTGCTTTTAAACCTGCGGTTCTCCCTCTAACCTCCCCCACCAGCAGGGAACACGTGGCAATGTTTGGAGGCATTTTTGGTTGTCACAACTGAAGGGGGTTGCTCCTGGGACTGAAAGGGTGGAGGCCAGGGATGACTCTCAACACCCTACCTGGCTCCCAGTGCCTATAGATCTGAGATTGAAAAATCATCTGCAAATTTGTGAAAGGATTTCAGGCATGGCTTTGGCTGTCATTATAGAGGACCTACTGTGTGCTCGCGTCCCATTCTCCCATCCCCCAAACAGCCCCAGTGTTGTTATCCTCACTGTGAGTGTCTAAGGTCCCTCACCCCCAGCCAGCCCCTCACCTTCCCTGTTGCCCAGCCGCCTCTGTAGCCTGGTGCATGGCCAGCAGCTCAGGTGTGACACCCAAAGCCCTGCCCGCACTGGACCATGGTCCCCGGAAAGGGCGAGGGCCTGTGTTTGGGATCTTGGCTCAGAGAGGGAGGACCCAGAAGGAGCCTGAGACAGGTGAGGGCCAGGCAGGGAGGGAGAGGATGGCTGCAATTTGAGCCCTCTCCCCACTTCCGTGAGAGTTTCTCACTCCCTCCTTTTCACTGTCCTCAATGTCGTCATTCATTCATGGACAAGGGACAGTGAGACGCAGTTCGCCAAAAAATGAATAAGAATCTTCCTGACGGTGTGGGCAACCACGACCACCCAGGACCCTACAGCAAGTGAACTACAGCACAGTGGAACAAGGGAGTGGTCTTTTGCGACAGTTTTCCTTATCCTGAGTTGGGTGTGTCCTCAAGCCCCCAGAAAGGACCCCCCAACCGCCCCCCTTACACACACCACACACACACACACACACCCCTAGAGCCCAGACCTTGGACCTACACACGTTGCCCCAAGATCCTCTCCATGTGGGTGTGGGTAGGCCCCATAGGCCCTGTCCCCTCCCACTCTCCCATCCTGACTTCACATTTAAGAATGGCAACGAGGCAAAGGCCGGGGAGCGGGGAAGCGTTCCTTGGCGCGGTGGTGCTGAATTATTAGCACATCACATTCAAGTTCAGGGACAGGGGGAATCTGCACTCAACCCCCGCCCTTCCTCCCGCCCCACAGACAAGCCTTTATGGACACACTCTCAGATCCCTCTGCCAGATCGCTCCCGGCGTTATAAATAGGAAAGGCACAGAGGTGGCAGATGTGGACGCTTTGGTCTGGCAGGAAGCGTCCCGGAGAGGGGCGGAGGGTTTTATCCGTCTCACCCCCCAAACACAATATCCTGAAAATGGTGCGATTCTCTGCTTCCAGGTGAGCGCCAGCACGGGAGGGGGACGGGAGGTGTGCAAGCCGGCGGCGGCGGGCGGAGAAACGGATGGGTCCCCACCCCAAGAGCCAGGACCGTGGCTCTCTATTCCCACCAGCCCCACCAGCTGGGAGGGGGTGGCAGCAGCAGCTGCCTGGGCACCCCTCCCGGGCAGGGTTTGGGGGGGTGGGCAGCAAGGTGGGCTCACCTCCGCGGTGAGAGCTGGTTACCGCCGAGGCCTCTCCCGGTTACGCGCAGACAAAGGCGAGCGCGGCGCCGCCGCAGCCCGGCATCCCTCGCCTCCCCCGCCGGCCCCCGGGCGGTCAGAGCATCCGAGGAAGATGCGCGCAGGGGCGGGCTCCGCATCCAAGCAAGGTCACCCCGGGCGGCTTGTGTCCGGGGGACGGGCAGCGGGGTGCAGCTAGCGGCCGGCTCCCCCTCGCCCGCAGGCGGCTGCGTCCCCGGTCATCGCCGTCGCAGCCGGTGACTGTCAGGTGCGTTCCCTCCCCGGCTCGCCGCCGTCAGAGGCTCGGCTTCCGTAAGGCGGTGAATTACGCCGCTTTTGTGTGCGGGGTGGGCCGGTGGGGTGGGGGCAGGGCTGGCCCAAAAGCACAGCCCCCGCCGGCGGCCGCGGCTCCCCATTGGCTGGAGGGAGCCTTTCCAGGAGCCGCACCCGCCGCAGGAGCGGAAATGATTTTCCCGATGGCGCATCGCAGATCTAAAAACAAAACAAGGGACCCACACACACATAAACCAATGGCGGCGATGGCCTCATCCCCTCCACCCAGAGGAGAGGAGGGAGGAGGGAGGAGGGAGCGATGTCCCCAGGACCCGTTCGGCGGCGCCTCGGCCGGCCACTCCCCATGGATGGAGCCGAGGACCGGGCGGGAGGCGCTGGAATCGCCCCGGGCACGCGGGCTCGCCCGTGGGGGGAGAGGCGCTCCTCGCGGTGGTGCACTGCGGTGACCTTGACCTGGAGGACTTCGGGAGGCAGCGGCATGGTGGAGGGCTCACCGCGCATCCGCTGAAATCAGACCAGATGTGGGTTGGAGCCCTAGGCCCGCTTCAGTTTCCTCCTCGGTGACAAGGAAAATGGCCCTGGCCTTTCAGCAAGTAATGAGACAGTGCACCGGAGAGTGGGGCTAACTCTGTGCAGGGGCATGAGAAAGGCTGTGTACATATTTCTTGCTTACTGTTTTTTTTAAGTGATTTTAAAAATTTGATTTGAGACAGAGGAGGAGGGGAACAAGGAGAGAGAGAGAGAGAGAGAGAGAGAGAGAGAGAGAGAGAGAGAGAGAGAGAGAGAGAGAGAGAGAGAGAGAGAGAGAGAGAGAGAGAGAGAGAGAGAAACAGAGAAACAGAGAAACATCGATGTGAGAAAGAAACATCCATCCGCTGCCTCCTGCACCTACCCTGACTGGGGATGGAAGCTGAAACCTGGGCATATGCCCTGACTGGGCATCCAACCCGTGACGTTCTGGTGCACAGGACTGCGCTCAACCCACTGGGCCATCTAGACCAGGCTCTTGCTTACTGTTTATTTTTAGACCTGTAGCAGGCTGGGGGGAGGGGTGTGCATGGGAAGATATCCCAGGGCAGTGAAGATGTGCGGTAGACCCTGAGGACTGAGTAGGAGTTAGAAGGATGGAAAAGGAAAAGGCATTCCAGACAGAGGGCTGTTTGAGAAGCCCAGCCCCTGCCCCATGAGAGGGCGCCGGGAGCTGTCCGTGGTGCTGCCGCAGCCACCCGGGAGCCCAACGTGAGACCTAAGCTTGGTGTTTGGTGGATTTCAAATTGCGCTAAAATATGTCTAACAGAAAATCTACCATTCAGGTTATTTTAAGTGTAAGGTTAAGTGGCATTAATTACATTTCACAGTGTGCAACTATCATCACCATCCATCTCCCAAACCTTTTCATCTTCTCAAACTAAAACTCTTGCCCTGGTAAACACTAACCCCTCTTCCCATTCCCCTGTCCCCCATAAGGGAAGTTTCTTGAGATCATAGATGCTGGAGTTTGTTATTACTGAATCTCTAATTCCCAGGCCAGTGTTTATGACTGGGAGCAATTCTGCTCTCCCCCACACCCAGAACATTTGGTGATGTCGATGACATTTTTGGTTATCATGACTTGAGGGATGCCAGCAATACTGGCATTGAGTGGGTAGAGACCAGAGATGCTGCTCTACACCCTACAATAGACAGTCCTCCACAATAGGGAATTACCTGGACCCAAGTATCAATGGTGCTGAGGTGAGAAATCTGCCCTAGAAGAATTCCTGAAACATATCAATAGTTGGTGCTCAGTGAAGTTTGTTGAAGCATTGGAATTGTTAAACCTCCTTAAGTCTCACTTTCCTGGTTTGCAAAGGAGAGTAATACAAGTACATTTGATCCTCAATGCTTGTTTTTTTATTTATGAACTTGCCTACTGTCTGAAATTTATTTGTAACATTTGCAAACCCAAAATCAATATTCATGGCGCTTTCAGGGTCATTTGCAGGCAGCCCAAAGTGGTAAAAAATTTGAGTGTAGGTTCCCATCTGCCCTGTCTTCTTATTCCAGTCCAGACTGTAAATGATGCTGCAGGTTTTAATACAGCATCTAGAAGGGGGGGTTCAGGAATCTGGAAAAGGGGTTGCTGTAAAGTAATCAAGAATCAAGAGATGGAACATAATTTTGGAAGGCATTTTGGGGAGCCAGAGAAGACTTAGCTAAAGAAACCAAGTCCTCCTGTCTCTCTGGACCCCTTGCTTTTTATTAACACAAATCTCCCCCCCCCCCAAAAAAAAAAAAAAAAAAAAAAACACCAAGGTACAAAGGCCAAGGTTTAGTATATAGAATCCATTGTGAGATTGGGGGACCTACCTACAGCTATTCAGGTGTTTGGCCAGTAGGAGGCAATGACATGTAGATTGAAAGCCCTCAGCTGTCTGGCAGCAAGCAATCATTTATGCATCCTTTTCAGGTTTAGGGAAATGCCGTCAGATGATTCAGCCCTCCTGACATGCTGGAATTAGCTTCTGGAAAATGACTTCCCTCTTTGGGGTTTATTTAATGCCATGCTTTGCATTTTTGTGATTATTGTTGGTGATTTCACTGTTTATAATGGCCCCCACTCATGTTGCTTAAGAGCTGTCTAGTGTTTCTAAGCACAAGTAGGCTGGGATGTGCCTTATGGAGAAGATATGAGTATTATATAAGCTTCATTCTGGCATGAGTTATAGTGCTATGGGTTGTGAGTTCAATGTTAAGGAATCACAATGTAGATTAAGATCTTCTTAAACGAAACATACACATAAAACAAGGTGATGTATCGATCACTTGATAAAAATGTTGTGACCAGAGGCTCACAGGAATCCAATCCTATATATAAGGCTTACAAGCAATGATTCAGTGTTTGTACTAACTTTATAGACCAGAACTACTGCCAATAACGAGAACTGATGTATCTACTTTTGAGGGCTAGTGTGAGGACTAGTTATGATGGTGCAGGTAAAACATTTTAGCATAATGCTTGCAATCAATAACAGGAAAAGAGGTATTATGCAATCCAGGGAAAACAATTAAAACAGCTCTGCTTTTGTATAAAGCATGCAGCCTTCATCTAGTTAGAGCTGCAGAGATTTGGAGGAAGGCCATGTACGAGTATAATTACCACGCTGGACTTTAGCCAACACATGGAGGGAGAACTGTGCTTGGCAGATTGTTCCTCGAGGCCACACATGGTCATACAGACACAAATGGAAGAATGCCATTCACTAAATTATCCAAAGGGCTTTCTTTGGCACCCTGGGCTTACCATGGTTTCTGTCCAAGAATTAACTGGCCCCCTGCTTGCTTAAATTAAGGGGCAAAAGAATACCACCCCACCACAATCAGTAAATGTACTTTTTTGGCCTTTCATAAAATTAATTTTAAAAAATTGAAATAATTTTAGAATCCCATGTGGTTGTAAGAAATAACAGAGAGAGAGATCCCCTGTACCCTTTTCCCTCCATTACCCAATGATAACATCTTACAAAATTATGTTACAATTTCACTATTGCTTTTGATAGTCAAGATTCACAATTTTTCTATCACCCCAGAATCTCTCATGTTGCCATTTTATAGCCACTTCCATTCCCCATCTCCTGTCCCCATGTCTTTAACCCCTGGAAATCACAAATATGTTCTCCATTTTTTATAATTTTGACCTTTTAAGAATTTTATGTAAATAAAACCATAAGAGTAGCTATGTAGCCTTTTAGCATTGGCTTTTTCCACTCAGCATAATTATCTAGAACTTCATCCAAGTGGCTGTATGTATTAAGAGTTTATTTCTTGCCCGGGCCAGGTAGCTCAGTTGATTAGATCATCGCTCCCAATATGCTAATATTGCAGGGTTTAATCCCTGATCAGGGTACATATAAGAATCAACTCTTTTTCCCTCCCTTTTTTTCTCAAATCAATCAATTGATAATAGAGAATTTATTCTCCATTGATATGATATATCTAGAATAGGAAAATCCATAGAGACAGAAAGCACATTGGTGATGGCCAGGAGCCGTGTGTGTGTGTGTGTGTGTGTGTGTGTGTGTGTGTGTGTGCGCGCGCGCTAATGGGCACAAGGTTTCTTCGTGGGGTAATAAAAATGTTCTGGAGTTAGTGGTGATGGTGTCACAACTCTGTGAAGTTACTGAAAACGATTGACTTGCACATCTTAAATGGTAGGGTGTGTGAATTATATCTCAATAAAGTTATTAACCAAGAAAATACCATAGTTGTAATTAGCAATTTGGTTATGATCTGCTTCCCTGATTCCAAGTTCTTTTTTTTTTTTTAAATATACTTTATTGATTTTTTTACAGAGCAGAAGAGAGAGGGATAGAGAGTTAGAAACATCGATGAGAGAGAAACATTGATCAGCTGCCTCCTGCATACCCCCTACTGGGAATGTGCCCGCAACCAAGGTACATGCCCTTGACCAGAATCGAACCTGGGACCCTTCAGTCTGCAGGCTGACACTCTATCCACTGAGCCACACCGGTTTTGGCTGATTCCAAGTTCTTGAGGACTGGTACCTTTTTAGTCTTGCTCACTGCTGCATTCCCCAAGATAATCATTGGCATTAATTCAATAGCAATAAGAACCCAAAATTGGGGTGCATTGAAGAAGGAAACTTTATTCAGTGCAAAACAACCCAATTGTGATACAGCACAGTGTGAAAACAGCATAATTTGGGATAGCCCTGGGGCCAGGCCCCTCTCTAGCTAAACAGGTCTTCTCTGCTCCTTGCTACCTTGCCTGGGAAAATCAGTGAACATCTCTGATGGAAAGGAAAAGTTAGCTCTCTGAGCCAATGGAAAGTGGCTTATATGGACAGAGGTCCTGGTCCCTGATGCAAATGAAGACTCCAAATCCTACTAGTTTGATTGGTCCAAAAGGCACTGTCCTGATTGGTCAGAATAGAGCTACTGTAGTTGATCAGAGATGGCACAGCTCTGATTGGATGGGGAAAGAAAGATTCAAGCCTATTGGTTGAAATAGGATTCTAGGAACTCCTGTATAAGTGCTGGTTCAGATGGCAGAAATAATGCAGGCAGGTGGTTCAGTGCAGGCCTCTCCTGAAGCACAGTTTGCATGAGAGGCCTTGTGTAAAAATGACTACTAGGATTGCTCTATC